CATATATTTTTAGTTGGCCAATTAATTTCTTTCTATTTTTAGTAGAGACGGGGGTCTCGCTCTTGCCCAGGCTGGTTTCGAACTCCTGACCTCGAGTGATCCGCCCACCTCGGCCTCCCAGAGTGCCGGGATGACAGGCGTGAGCCACCGCGCCCGGCCTGTGCATTTAAAATTACCGGGAGGTGCTACAATTGGACGAAACAGCCCTGTAGAAAACCGGCAGATATTCTCGTTTATTCACGTGTCAGTGTACGCATGGAAAAAGAAAATTCTGGAGTCATGTACAGTATTTTAACACCAAGACTGTTAGGAATGGCAGTTCCGGGGGATTTTTCGCTTTCTGTGTTGCTCGTGTTTGTAGTGTTCCAACGCGTTGCACAACCTACAAGCTTTACTTTTTTTTGGAAAACAGAGAAGAAACCATCCACTGCAGTAACGGCCATTCTAGTGGGAAGAGCAGTTGGGGATGCCAGGAGCTGGAGCAGAGGCAGGGGCGGGAGTTCTCAGGCTTCCTGGAGGGGGAGTCCAGGTCAGGGGCATTTGGGGAAGTAGCTAAAGGTGCAAAGGGCATGCCCTTTGACACTGCAGTTCCACAGCTAGGAATGTGCCCCCAGGGCTACGGTCCCCGCCGCTGTGCTGCAGGCTGGTGCCAGTCCGTGGCCTGTTAGGGACGGGCCACGCAGCAGCAGGTGAGCGGCAGGTGACCCGCCAGCGAAGCTTCATCTGCGTTGACAGCCGCTCTGGTCATCGCGTAAACTCTGCCTCCCCTGCAGCTTCAGCTTTAGATTCTCAAAGGTGCAGGAACATGCCTCGGATCTAGGTTTTGACTCCTTTTTTTTTTTTTTTTTTTTTTGAGACAGAGTCTAGGTCTGTTACCTGGGCTAGAGTGCCGTGGGGTCAGCCTAGCTCACAGCAACCTCCAACTCCTGGGCTCAAGTGATCCTCCTGCCTCAGCCTCCTCCCGAGTAGCTGGGACTACAGGCATGTGCCACTATGCCCGGCTCATTTTTTTCTATATATATTTTTTAGTTGATCAATTAATTAATTTCTATTTTTAGTAGAGACGGGGTCTCGCTCTTGCTCAGGCTGGTCTCGAACTCCTGAGCTCAAACGATCCTCCCGCCTCGGCCTCCCAGAGCGCTGGGATCACAGGCGTGAGCCACCGCGCCCGGCCTGCCTTCCTTCTTACCCTCCACCAACACACAGTCACTTTCTTACGGCACACGGAGGCGTCACTCTGGGCTTGCGCCCTCAACCTCTGCCTCCAAGCTGGCTCTGAGGAAGTCACCCTCCCTACAACCTCCGGCTTCCTGCTGCCGGTGAGACCTCGCCCACCCTGTGATGTGGTCTCTGTGGGCCCGTCTGTCTGCCTCGTCCTCTCCCTCCACCCTAGTTTGGGCACCTTTTTGCAGATTCCTGGGGAGGATTCAGCAGCAGCCCTGCTCTGGCTCTGCGCCCCGCGGACGCCCTTCCATGCCACCGCCCTCAGGGGATTGCAGGTGCTCGCCTGTCTCCCAGGCTCACCTGAGTCCGCGGCCACATGCTCAGCGGGGGCTCCAGAGGGCGTCTTGCCGGTTGACCCTGGGGAAGCCAACCCTGGACTTGAACCTCACTGCACGGTCGGACACTGCACGATTTTGGGAATTGGCATGGATCGGGAAGATGATTTAAAAGGGGGGGGGGAGGGTGCCTTTATTTAATAAAGGATAGCACTGCCCTCCCCGCTGAGGCTCCTAGGAAACAGTACCTGGGTAAGACCGTGAAACTGAGCACATTAGAGTCTTCTGGAGTTAAATTTGGAGCTGGGACGAGGTAGGAAAAATCTATGCTCATTGAATACAAAATGCAATTGTCTGTCAGTGCAGGAACTGAAGAATCTGCAGCAAATTATATTTAAGACTCTATTGTCACAGGCAGATTAGCTAATGCTCGATTTTAAGTGTAGGCTTCTAATGCTATTACTCCTGGTTAACTCTGCCTGGCAGGTAACCTTGTGGAACAAATGACTGCATTGCTTGAATAACATATTTGATCAAACAGGACAATTCTTTCAGAAATTGAGTTCTCTGTGGCAATTTGAGACCTGTAATCAGCAAATTAGATGATTACAGCAGGGATAAAAATAGTCTTCCAACAATGTCCAAGGTATAAATGTGATTTGAATTTCAAAATGTTGAACATGTGGCAGGAAAACGCACGGCCGGGTAAATATGACTAGACATTATCAGATTTGATTTCTCCTTCCGTCCCTGCTCTGAGCCGGAGCCTAATTTTGCCCGCGTAGACTCCAATCTCTTTTCCGTCTGAGGTGGTGGATGGCAGTGTATATCAGGCACTGTGTACTCCAAATCTCAAAGGGCTCCACAGCTGTCCTTAGCTGCCTCAGGAACTTAACGTATTTATTTACATTTTATTTTTGGAGACAGAGTCCCGCTCTGTCACCCGGGCTAGAGTGTCGTGGCGTCAGCCTAGCTCACAGCAACCTCAGACTCCTGGGCTCAAGCGATCCTTCTGTAGCTGGAACTACAGGTATGAACCACCAGCGTGCCTGGCTAATTTTTTGTTTCTATTTTTAGTTGACCGGCTAATCTTTTTTTTTTTTTTCTATTTTAGGTAAAGACGGGGGTCTCACTCTTGTTCAAGCTGGCCTCGAACTCCTGAGCTCACGCGATCCTCCTGCCTCGGCCTCCCAGAGTGCTAGGGTTGTAGGCATGAGCCACCAGCGCCCGGCCCTACCTGGGGAACTTAAACTGCCGTGAGCCTCAGCACCGTTTATTTACCCACTTGGTGTGAAATGACCTCCCTGAAACAGTAATCGGTCCAACTTCCGACCAGGGAAGATGGCTTTGGAAAACCTTGGACATTCGCCCCTAAGGACCAGGGTTTCTTTCTTAGGCACGGGGGGGCAGAGAAAAGCCAGCACCTCTCATGCGGACTAGCACGCGGGTCCTGTGAGCTGGGACGGGGTTATGAGGATGCCGCCCACCGTCCCATCACCCAGTCAGTCTCCATGGCTGGTCCATGAGCTATTCTCTTTCTCCATCGCCTTTCTCTGGCCCCCATCGCCTTTCTCTGGCCCTTCCTGCTCCCACCTTCGCCTCAGACCATCTTTCACCCAGGAGGACCAAGAGGCTGGTGTTGTCCCTGCCGTCAGTTGGGGCACCGCCCTGCCTCGGCTGGTTTTGGCTGCACCGCAGAACAAAAACGGCCTGGCAAATGGTTTATGGAGCCAAGCAGGGAGACCGGTTAGTTAGCCACAAACCGGTTAGGAGCAAACGGAGGAAGCTCCTGTAGGAGGGAACCTGATCTTTACTTACTTTTAGGGTTTCTTTTTTTTTTCTTTTTTGAGACAGAGTCTCGCTTGTTCCCCAGGCTAGAGTGAGTGCCGTGGCGTCAGCCTCGCTCACAGCAACCTCCAACTCCTGGGCTCAAGTAATCCTTCTGCCTCAGCCTCCCAGAGTAGCTGGGACTACAGGCATGTGCCACCATGCCCGGCTAATTTATATATATATATATTAGTTGGCTAAATTAATTTCTTACTATTTATAGTAGAGACGGGGTCTCGCTCTTGCTCAGGCTGGTTTTGAACTCCTGACCTTGAGCAATCCGCCCGCCTCGGCCTCCCAGAGTGCTAGGATTACAGGCGTGAGCCACCGCGCCCCGGCCTACTTTTAGGGTTTCTGATGGAGACACGGAAATTACTGATTGCTGTGGATTTCACTCACCCATCTAGGACTCACCCTTTATTATTAGCACAGGTGATTAAGAGCTGCCTAGGGCAACGCCGTCATGTTCTAAAACAATCTAGATTTCTGGAGATGCGGCATTCAGACAACTTACACACAAGGCATTCTTGTTCCAGTGTATTTCAATAATGCCCTCTGTAACACACCGGCCTGCTAACCGAACTAGGAAGTAATATTTACCTCAAATGTGCTTTAGAATTGGTGCCACATTTGTCAGGCTCTCAAATTTACAGTAAAACTTTGGAAATTTAAATGTTTTCAGTGCCATATTCTTTTTTTTTTTTGAGACAGAGTCTCACTTTATTGCCCAGGCCTAGAGTGAGTGCCGTGGCGTCAGCCTGGCTCACAGCAACCTCAGACTCCTGGGCTCAAGCGATCCTCCTGCCTCAGCCTCCCCAGTAGCTGGGACTACAGGTGTGCACCACCATGCCCAGCTAATTTTTTTCTATATATATTAGTTGGCCAATTAATTTCTTCCTATTTATAGTAGAGACGGGGTCTTGCTCTTGCTCAGGCTGATTTCGAACTCCTGACCTCGAGCGATCTGCCCGCCTCGGTCTCCCAGAGTGCCAGGATGACAGGCGTGAGCCACCGCGCCCGGATTCAGTGCCATATTCTTGCACGAAAATGCAAAATGGAAATCAACCACTTTTAGGGTTTTGCCGACTCACTTACACATGATCACTGCATTCAAGGCTCTAACAGCTCTGCCTCAGATGAAGAAATCACCAGCTAGGAGTTGCACCATTTGACTAAATGCCATTACATGTGAATTTATAATGCATTTATTAGGGAAAACTGTTGGGCTAAACCTTGCCAGAACCACAACATCAAGGCCAAAAGGTTGGGTCTCTCTCCCAACTCCATACAAATCTGGTACAGATCTGAAATGGCGGGTTTTCTTTTTTACTTCAAACAGATTTTCACAAAATGAGATTAAGACACCCCAGCTGAAAATAAGCGGCATTCATTTGTTCGTTCGCCCTCCCTCCTGTGCGCGCCCCCCCCCCACACGCAGAAGGATCTCGAAGTGAGAGGTCAGACTGGACGGTGCCACCACCCTGACAACGCTCAACACGATGCGACGTGCACTGCAGGCACCTGGCCTTCGAGTGGACAGTGACCACTGTGTGGCACCCAGTGACTAGACTGTGCAATGACATAGTCCCCTTGAGCTACACAGAGTTTCACTCTCCCTTTTCTTCTTAAAAGCGTAGTTCTGGGCTACTATGTTAACAAGTTTTCCAAACAAACAAACAAAAAATTCATTTATTCTTTTAAGATTTGGGTGAGGATGAAAAGAGCATTAAATAGCACCAATTATAGATTCTGGATGGCCTTTAACAGGGCTAGGGAAGAAATTGTAAAAGTCCTCTCACACGTGGCAGTGGTCTCACTCCTGCCACCGATGGCCACCGTGGAGGGACTTGCCCATCAGACCCTCTGCCAGGTTGGGGTTCTCGGGAGGCCCACAGCCTCACGCTGGAAGTTTTCCTTTAAGTGTTTTTGCTTGAAAAGACTTTAGCGTCAAGAAGCACGAAGCCAAAACGGAGAACTCAGTACGGCCACGCTGAAAGCTGACTTCTAACTTAAGGTACCAGACATAGCTCGTAAAACCAGCTGTCTCAAAGACAGTATTATCTTTATTAAAAAACGGACAGACATAGCAGCACTTGCAACAGTTCATAAAAGGCATCGTAGGTTGTCAACTGAGAGTGTGGAAGGGGCAGGCCCCGCCCGCTGGCCGTGGGCCCTGCGTGCGCAGCCGGCCACCGGTCCCACTTAGCACCGCGAGCCAGAACACCTGAGGGACAGCGGCACCCTCGCGTCAGCCTGTGTGTGGACAGTCAGTCAAGTCAAGTATCACCCTCCTTAGCAGCATCTGGAGCACTCGTTGTGTTCTGGAGGTGGCTGGTGTACTTGACCCACTTATTAAAAAAAAATCTGAGCATTCAATAAAAAACACTTCTCCCTGTCCAATGCCATCCACAGAAATACTCTGCTGTGGAAGAGACGCCCCTCCATTTAAATATCCGTGAAAGCTAACGCTCGCCCCCGCCGCGGCGGGCAGGAGCGACCGGGGCAGGCACTTGCGCACGGCTGTCTTTGGTGGGGAGCGCGGGCGTCACGCCGTCCCCTGCCCACTGCTCTGCTTCTCGCTGCTCGGCGGGGGGGTGAGGACCCCGGTGGGGAGGGGAGAAACCCTATTCTGTTCAGACAGTATGGCTTTCTTTGCTTGGGCTTTGTCCTGTTGGGAGAACAGAAGGGGGAAACGTCAAAGCGGAGGGACAGACCCCTGGGCTTCACCCGCCGCACGTGTTTTCTACGGAGGTGAGAAGACGGAGGTAACAGAGTAACCTGAAGTCTCTGGTCTGCGTGACGCCGAGACACAGCATCTGTTGACCAGAACTTTCCTTTTCCCAGGCATTAACAGAATTGGGATTTTTCTAGGAAATCGGGAGCCTGTCTGAAGGGAGGTGACCCCCCCCCAGGGAAGGGCTGGCCGGGCACACTGACCAGCAAGTCCAAGCTGCCCCTGTGGGTCTGTATGTTGTGGGCGTCGTCGGCAGGAACCCCCCTGAAGTGCTTCAGTTTCGAGCTCCCCGTCTCCCTGATCGCCATGGCGAAAGGGACCATCCACTTGACGCAGGTCTCGATGTCGCACCACTGGTACCCTGCACGGGAGGACAGGCGGCTCGACCTGCCCCACGGCCTGCCCAAGTCTCAGCACCCCGCCCGCGCTCGCCGGGGAGCGTACCTGAGACCTTCTGCATCAGCTCGGACGAGGAGAAGTGATACAAGGCGGAAGCAGCGAGGACACCGTAGGGGAACTCTAAGCAGTCGACATCCAGGACGCAGAGATCCAAGAGCTACGGAGAAGGCAGAGCACTGGCATGGGCACCCACACGCGCCCCCTCCACACCCTCACCGCGGCGGCAGGCGGGGGGCCCAGTGGCCGGGCGGCTCACCTCCGCGATCTGTATGAAGATCTGCTGGGGGTACTGCGGCAGCAGCACCTGGTAGACGTCGCTCAGATACGCGACCTGCATGTACACGTTCAGCCAGGACACGATGGTCAGGGGGCTCAGGCGCCACTTAAGAGCCTAAGGGGAGACAGGCGAGACCAGCGCCTGAGAAAGCAAGTTCCCGTGTGGCCGGCCGCGCTCCAGGCCGCGGTGCGGCCGGCTGCAGAGCTCCTGTTAGACGCACTCACACCTCACGCGGGAGAGATATGATGTGTGCGTTTAAAAAAAAACGAATGAGCCGGGCGCGGTGGCTCACGCCTGTAATCCTAGCACTTTGGGAGGCCGAGGCGGGCGGATTGCTCAAGGTCAGGAGTTCGAAACCAGCCTGAGCGAGACCCCGTCTCTACCAAAAATAGAAATAAATTAATTGACCAACTAAAAATATATATACAAAAAATTAGCCGGGCATGGTGGCGCATGCCTGTAGTCCCAGCTACTCGGGAGGCTGAGGCAGTAGGATCGCTGAGCCCCGGAGATTGAGGTTGCTGTGAGCCAGGCTGACGCCACGGCACTCACTCTAGCCTGGGCAACAAAGTGAGACTCTGTCTCAAAAAAAACAAACAAACAAACAAAAAAAAACGAATGAAAAAGTAACTTGTGACCCACCTTCATGATCATCAATTCCATGGTGAGAATTTCATCTCCCGAACAAGCCCCATCTGTGACGTAAGCAAACTGGTGCAACTTCGGAGGATAGATTTCCTAACAGGAAACAAAAGGAAGACGCCACTAGCACACAAGGCCAAATTCTGATGGTTTCACTGTGCAATCTACATCCCAAATTATTCTTTTTAGCACCCTGGCATGGAAAGAGCGGGGGCACACTGATTATGGGATTAATACAGGAGCCACTCCAATGGTTCAAACTGTGTCAGCTGCAGAAGAAATGAAACTCCTGGCCCTACTAACTAAATGCTTAGATAGAACTTTCACATGCTGTGAGCACTTTTGAAATTTTCATCTTGTCAGTACCTTTATTTTTTTCTTTTTTTTTTGGCAAAGACTGGAGAACAATTGTCAGTACCTTTAACAATGAGTTTGAAAGTTAATCTTCTGAGTTCAAACTAGTTAACCTAGATGCCCTGCACACTCACAGCTCCCCTCTCTTCCTGGTTAGGCCCCAGCCTTTTGTGCACGTGTCTTAACTTCAGAAGGCCTCAGATTAGGAAAATGAAGGCTATGCATTATGGACAAATAGTTGACCCCTCCCGCTAATCTCAGTGGAGCTCAAGAAACACCACATATCCTACAACAAGTATTTGAAAATTATTTACCTCAAGTTTGGCTGCAATAAATAAAGATGAAATCCCAATAAGCTGTAGAAGTGTTTTTACAACGTTTTCTTGTGTTGCCATATACCGATCAAAGAAATCCTGTGCCAAGTAAAATGTCTCCCTGTGAAGTTTATAGACTTCACACACCTGAAAAAATATTTAGTACGTTTTAGAACAGTTACTTCAGTAAAGAAAAAAAAAAAAAAAACCCTGTAAGTGCATACACAATGAAAAACTGGCACTTAGGTATAAGGATTACGTGTTCTGTGATCTGTACAGCAGTGAGATCACATGTTCCTAGGCCAGGGAAGAGAAATACGTTGACAGCCTGCTCAAAGCAACATTCTCATTGAAAAAACAAACAGGCCGGATCGCTCGAGGTCAGGAGTTCGAAACCAGCCTGAGCTAGGAGTGAGATCCCATCTCTACTATAAATAGAAAGAAATTAATTGGCCAACTGATATATATAGAAAAAATTAGCCGGGCATGGTGGCACATGCCTGTAGTCCCAGTTACTCGGGAGGCTGAGGCAGGAGGATCGCTTGAGCCCAGGAGTTTGAGGTTGCTGTGAGCTGGGCTGATGCCATGGCACTCACTCTAGCCTGGGTAGCAAAGCGAGACTCTGTCTTAAAAAAACAAACTATCATATGAATTATGTATTTTCTCAGAGAATGCTGCTCCTCCCCTTTATAATTTTTTTTTTTTTTTTTTTTTTGAGACAGAGTCTCACTGTTGCCCAGACTAGAGTGCCATGGCATCAGCATAGCTCACAACTCCTGGGCTCAAGCGATCCTCCTGCCTCAGCCTCCCAGGTAGCTGGGACTACAGGCATGCGCCACCATGTCCGGCTAATTTTTCTATGTATTTTTAGTTGTCCTACTAATTTCTTTTTATTTTTTTTAATATAGATGGGGTCTCGCTCTTGCTCAGGCTGGTCTCGAACTCCTGACCTTGAGCAATCCTATCGCCTCGGCCTCCCACAGTGCTAGGATTAGAGGGGTGAGCCACCACGCCCGGCCTATAAATTTCATTGTGACTTAAGGAAAGAACTAGCATTTTTACAACCAGGCCATCCCAGTTAAGAAAGTTTAAAGATTACAACATGCCCCAAAACACTGTAAATCACATGAGACAACAGCTTTTTTAAAAAAACAGAAGACCCAGAGACTTGGGTTCTAGTTTAGGCAATAACTTGGACAAACTCATTTATTCAGATATCTCAAACTATAAAATTAGGAGGATCTGGTGAAATAGTGTACATGTTGGGGTTGAAAAGGAGCAAGAAAATATCAGATCTCAATTCTTTGCCATCACCCAGTGTCTGATCACTCACATAAACTATAGTAACAACACTGCCATTCCCAAGATAGACATCTCACGTAGGTGCACTTTAGGGGGTTAATATGTACAAAAAGAGTAGAGAAACAATAGGGATACTGCTAGAAAATTCTGCCAATGACCAACAACTATTTCTAAAGTCCAGGTTAAGCCAGACATAGCTATTTTTAAACACAGACCTTCAAAGTATAATGGCATCAATTACATTAGAACTTCTCAGCCATAACATTTTATAAGAATGAGCTGAAGCCCAAGAGATTAAAACATTTTACAACTAAGGCTTGCTTCAAGAAACTATGGTATCTGGTGGGCAACTGCGAGGCCTACCCTTTAAAAGCAGGCCTGCCAAAGAATTCAGTCCAGAAAATGTTGACTTCTTCAGGGACCAATGGATAAACACAAATTAAGAATGATAAACTTTATACACCATGTCTGATCTGCATAAACTCTTCAAGGAAAATATCACAGATGAGGAAACTAAGACCCAAAGGCAGCGGGGACTTGCCCGACTAGGACATGCTGAAGTGGCAACAGGGAATATGATGCCAGGACTAGCGCAACTGAGGTGCGTGTAACCCCTGGGAATGCTGGCTTTCCCAAGGGGTATTTTCATGTCTAACAAACACATTCCCCCCATCTGCCAGTTTTGTTTTTCTGAGGTTTCGGTCTGGAAATATTAAATGAAAAACTGCAGAAATAAATTGAAAAGTTTAAAATTGCGCAGCATTGTGGCTCATCCCGCTCCCACCTGCCTGGAACCTGAATCAGCCCTTTGTCCAGCGTTTGAGCCTGGGCTACCTGGGCCTCCAACCAGTACTGGTCCGTCGCCTGTTAGGAACCAGACCCCCAGCAGGAGGTGAGAGGCAGCTAAGCAAGCAAAGCCCCCCTGTATTTACAGCCCCGTGGCTGGCACCACCGCGTAAGCTCCACCTCCTGTCGGATCGGCTGCGGCATTAGACTCTCATGGGAGCTTGAACCCTACTGCAAACTGCTCGCTCTAGGGATCCAGGTCGCCCCCTACGAGAGGCCAATGCCTGGTCATCTGAGGTGGAGCTCAGGCAGTGATGCTAGTGCCAGGGAGCAGCTGCAAATACAGGTCATCAGCAGCAGAGAGGTTTGACTGCACCACGAATGTCATGAACTTGAATCGCCCCCACCGCACGTCTGTGGAAAAACTGTCTTTCACGAAACCGATCCTGGTGCCAAAAAGGTTGGTGACCGCTGGTATAAACTACCCGACCCATAGTCATTTAGTAGCTGTCTTGGTTACCCGATGGATTGTTGTGGTATTGCAGTGTTTGTGTTCAAGTAACCCTTATTTTTTTTTACTGAATAACGGCCTCAAACCACAAGAGTTTTGACTCTGGCAATTGACATGCCAAAGAGAAGCCAGAAGGTGCTTTCTGTAAGTAAAACTGTGAAACTATAGGAAAAACATAGTATGTACAGGGTTTGCCACTACCTATGGTGTGGCTTCAGACATCCACTGGGGTCTTAGAATGTACCCCTGAGAATAAGGGGGAAGCACCACAGTTAGATACTCAACTTCTACATGTGATTGTTTTACAAAATGGATCTGCATGAAATGTCCTTCCACTTCACAGAAGAAAAGCCCACTCCTCATCAACCCAAGTCTTACGAGGTTGTCTAGGAAGCCAGACCTTTAATAGAGAAACTATAAGTCACCTGCAGTACATCCTGGTAAGAGATATGATGCTAAAATTTCACTTTGTAGGTTTAACAATTACCTATCAAAACCTTTAACACTTGTTCTTTTGATCAATTGCTACAGAGAAGTAGGATAGTGTGGATCAACATATCTTGTTAGGATAACATTCTGTGGGGGAAAGGTAAATGGATTCCAAGAGTTATAAAGGAACAATTGTAAGATCTGTTAGCTTGTTCATATTTTTATAATTTATGATAGTGGCTATCAAATAGCTGATATTTGCATCCCAGTGGCTACATATAAAAGCAATTCAATGAACAAAACTCAAATATCAATAGTTACAATTTACTGGAAAATACAACCTTCGCAACTATTTAAACTTTGACAGAAAAAATTAGATGCCAATTTTAAACCCCCTAAGAGGTATAGAGATTTTAGAAATTCTTTTTTTCTTTTTTGAGACAGAGTCTCGCATTATTGTCCAGGCTAGAGTGAGTGCCATGGTGTCAGCCTAGCTCACAGCAACCTCAAACTCCAGGGCTCCAGCGATCCTACTGCCTCAGCCTCCCAAGTAGCTGGGACTACAAGCATGTGCCACCATGCTCGGCTAATTTTTTCTATATATATTGGTTGGCCAATTAATTTCTTTCTATTTATAGTAGAGACGGGGTCTCGCTCTTGCTCAGGCTGGTTTCAAACTCCTGACCTTGAGCAATCCGCCCGCCTCGGCCTCCCAGAGTGCTAGGATTACAGGCGTGAGTCACTGCGCCCGGCCTAGAAATTCTTTTAAGCTTCCTTTTCTCTTTCTGCCATCTTGGAGCCTGTGGAGGCCTGCTGGGAACTGGACTTCTACAAGGCAAACATGCCTGGAAGGCTGTGGTCCAAGGTCCGTTTCTGCCAGCTATACGCTGGGTCTCCAGAACCACACAGCTTTTCTTAAAGTTGAGGGTGTTTATGCCTGAGATGAAACTGAATTCTATTTGGGCAGGAAATGTGCTTTTATGTACAAAAGCAATGAAGAACATGGTGACTCCTGGCGGCAAAACCAGAGTGATCTGGGGAAAGGTAACCAGGGCCCATGGAAACAGTGGCAGGGTCCGTGCCAAACTCCAGAGCAACCTTCCTGCTAAGGCTGCTAGAGACAGAATCTGTGTGATGCTATATCCCGCTCCCCAAGGATTTAAACTAATGAAAAGCAAACAAAATGAAAGTAAATTTGTGGGGGAAAAAACTCTTAAGAATGCAAGCAAAAAAGAGGCTGGGTGTAGTGGCTCATGTCTATAATCCTAGCACTCTGGGAGGCTGAGGTAGGAGGATCGCTCAAGGTCAGGAGTTCGAAACCAGCCTGAACAATGGCGAAACCCCTTCTCAACAATGGCGAAACCCCTTCTCTACTAAAAATAGAAAGAAACTAATTGGCCAACTAAAAATATATAGAAAAAATCAGCCAGGCATGGTGGTGCATGCCTGTAGTCCCAGCTACTCGGGAGGCTGAGGCAGGAGGATTGTTTGAGCCAGGAGTTTAAGGGTGCTGTGGGCTAGGCTGACGCCACGGCACTCACTCTAGCCCGGGCAACAGAGTGAGACTCTGTCTCAAAGAAAAAAAGAAAAGTGAAGAATGCAAGCAAAAAAGTCAAAAGCTCACTGCAGCAATGCGCCATAGCGCTTCAGAGACACGGACTGTGCCGATGGAACGGAGCGCACAGAGCTCACAGCACACGGGAAACCCAGAAGTGGCCGAGGCCCCCAGCGAGGGGAGGCGGGCTCACCTCCATCAGCCAGTCCAGGAGGATCGCCCGCATCCGAGGCTGCAGGAGAGGGTGCCGCTGCAAAAAGTGCTGGTCCCGCAAGTACGTCTTTTCCTTGTTTAGCATGATTCTCCAAACTTCCTCTCTGTTCGCCCAGCTACAAAAGCAAAAACAAAGAAGCTCACAGCCGCCCAGGGGTCGGTATGCATCCCCACTGATGCGGGCTGAGGGGAACGCGGGGTCAGAGGTCTGGAAGCCCCGAGGCAGGGCCTGCGCTTACTTCAGGATAGGCAGCGGCGAGGCCCTGGAGGGCGTGAAGCTCTGGGGCTTGCATGCGGAATTCGGGTACACCGGCTCGTCCTCTTCTTTGTCCGGCGTGGGGATCAGGGAGCAGGGGTTTGCACAGACCGCGTCACCGTCCCACGGCTGTAAAAATGAAAAAGGCACACTTAAAAATGTTTGATGTAGGCCGGGCGCTGTGGCTCACGCCTGTAATCCTAGCTCTTGGGAGGCCGAGGCGGGCGGATTGCTCAAGGTCAGGAGTTCAAAACCAGCCTGAGCAAGAGCGAGACCCCATCTCTACTATAAACAGAAAGAAATTAATTGGCCAACTGATATATATATAAAAAATTAGCCGGGCATGGTGGCGCATGCCTGTAGTCCCAGCTACTTGGGAGGCTGAGGCAGCAGGATTGCTTGAGCCCAGGAGTTTGAGGTTGCTGTGAGCTAGGCTGACGCCACGGCACTCACTCTAGCCTGGACAAAAAAAAAAAAAAAAAAAAAAGTTTGATGTAAACCAGCTATTTTCACGTTCACCAATCTGTAGATTATCCAGGCCTCGGTTAAGATGGAGACAGCATGGACAAAGAAAAGCTGCAGCAATGACTGCATGCTTTCATTTTTCTTCTGTCGTGGCCCAGGGAGTCCATGTAGCAGACACCTGAGAAAAACTAGGAAATCGGCAGCATTTTATCTTCCACACCCTCATCCTCACGTGAGGTGCTTCAGTGCCAAAGTGGACACAGGAGAAGAAAAATTACATTTAAATGTAAACACCTTTTGCATTACAAAAGAAAGTACAAATCCACTTGCAGCACAGCAAGATACCTGTGCACGACTTTTGAAGTGCTTTAAAAAAGTTACATTTGTGAGATTATTTAGTCACAATTCAAAGATCTTTTTCTTAACACGTACAACAGATCTACTAAAATTTCTTAAAAATAAAACATACAATTTCCAATAAAAACATTTACACAGCACTACACATTCACAAGTAGAAAGGAGCAAAAATGTAAACTAGCTGCCATCTTTATTAAGGTCCCCTGGGGTTAAAACAAAAACTCATCAAATGTGACATCTTCTTTTGGTTGCAGGACTAGCCAAATATATTAAACAATGGAGAACTTTTGTTTTCCTTTACTCAAGAGAAAAGAACATCTGCCCAGGTAAAGCCAAACCAAGTGGCCACAGGCCACACTAAGAAGTCCATGGAGAAAGGGCCTAGATACTCCTGAAGACCTCTGAATCCTCAGCCTTGCTACCTACTTGAGTAACACTCAGCTACCTTATAAAAGAATGAACTACCATTAAAAACCAAAAAATATGCTTTTCTTTCAAGATTTCAGATTCTCAATTTTCAATCATTTGGAAAATGCTAGGTCATTTTCCCATTTGGAAAATCTTTTTTTTTGAGACAAGAGTCTCACTCTGTTGCCTGGGCTAAAGTGCCATGGTGTCAGCCTCGCTCACAGCAACCTCAAACTCCTGGGCTCAAGCAATCCTGCTGCCTCAGCCTCCCAAGTAGCTGGGACTACAGGCATGCGCCACCATGCCTGGCTCATTTTTTCTATATATTTTTTTAGTTGTCCAGCTAATTTGTTTCTATTTTTAGTAAAGACGGAGGTCTCACTCTTGCTCAGGCTGGTCTTGAACTCCTGACCTTGATCGATCCTCTTGCCTCGGCCTCCCAGAGTGCTAGGATTACAGGCATGGGCCAGCACACTGGTTGAAAATCCTTTTAAAAACTATTCATCGTTCCACTCTAAAAAGAAAACTATTTTTGATTTTTAAAGTTACAAAATAGTGACTTGTTGAAGGTGACAATCCTGCTAGCATGGAAGCCCTGTGAAAACCTGAGACCCTTGGCATTTTGTTTCTTTAAAGCAGAGAGACCACTAACGTTGACTAGAGAACAAAGCAGACAACTGGCATGACTATAAACGAACACGGAAACCCGGGCTCGAAGTGCTGCCTGGAAGACATGGTGCAGTGGCTACCACAGAACGCTGGCCACCTCCAGAGGAAGCCCAAGCCCTTTCAGTGAGTAAGAGGAGCAAAGCCAGACAAAGCTCTCCTCTACCCAATGCACAAAGAATTGGGCATGCAAATTATCCATGACACTCTGTCAACAGCTGTGTGAGGAAGGCAACTTCCTTTCGGTTCTAGTATCATGTGCTGGTAGCATTTTCTTGACTCAAAAAGGGTCATGTTACAACTGCTCTCTGAGTTGCTCTTCATTCAGGAAGAATGAATTCTGGTTTTGAAGGTACAAAGTGGGTGCCACCCTGTATGGCCAGATGGCTGGCACGTATAAGGACAGGCCTTTGGAGATAAACTAACTGGTAGCAGTTCCAAATCAGCATTTCATAGACAAATTAGGTTGAACCACAAGTAGACAAATGGTTTCCAAAGCTGGTCTTTTTAAGAACCAGTGGATGAAGCAAAATAATTAAGTCTATGTCCCTTAAGCTTGAAAGGAATCAGGGTCAGTCTGACTTTTCTGAGAAGTAACTAATAATAGTCTAGGATTCTGATTCCATAAAAAAAGTCGGGTTTCATGCAAAATAAACTAAACAAAAAAACCGGACATGTTTAAGGGTATTCTTTTCATTGAGACCGGCCCAAGCTAAGAACCATCAAGGTTCCACAGGGTCGTGATGAAGCAGTTACATGGAGTGTTAGCATGATGGCTCTAGGTAGCAAGCTCCAGAGAAAAATGCTAAGTTATTAATAGGCAAAAAGGTTCTGTTTTAACTTCAAGTTCTAGCTTCATGAATCTTCAGAGAAATAATAAAGACACTGCCTCATAAATAAATGGATAATTGTTAAGCTATCTACTCTGCAACCTGTTGTCATTACTCTCTGGACAACCGTGAACATGCCTCCCAGAGGGAGATGCCATGGTTGTCCGTGTATCACGGCCATCACCTCTCCCCGGGGCATGGACAGAGCCACAGTCCCGCTGCAGGCACCTTGGCCCTGCTCAGGTCATCCTGAGAACAGAGACTACTCTGAAGCTCTAAGGAAGTCAATGTGGATGGCTCTGCTCTGTCTTCAGCTGGACATTTTATTTCTATTCAAAACAAAGCTGGGAAAACAGACAATCTTGAATTTCACAAAGTAGGGACTCACTTTATAATGCCCACAAAACCAACTTGCTTGACTTAAAGGTTCTTTTTAAGGAAAGAAAAAGGAAAAGAGGTTGGCAATGTGACATCTCATTTCCTTTCCTACAGTGAAACATTTCTTCTAACAGAGAAGGAAATCATCAATCCCTTGTTCAATATTCAGGGGATCCTCCCCTGAAGTGCTCATTACCAGGGTCCTATGTGCAGTGAGGAGTGCCACTGCAAGCAACGAGGACATCATTTTTCTTTTTTTTGAGACAGAGTCTCAACTCTGTCGCCCAGGCTAGAGGGCCGTGGCGCCAGCCTAGCTCACAGCAACCTCCAACTCCTGGGCTCAAGCGATCCTCCTGCCTCAGCCTCCCGAGCAGCTGGGACTACATGTCCAGGCATGTGCCACCATGCCCGGCTAATTTTTTCTATATATTTTTTAGTTGTCCAGCTAATTTCTTTCTATTTTCAGTAGAGACAGAGTCTCGCTCTTGCTCAGGCTGGTTTCAAACTCCTGACCTTGAGCAATCCTGCTGCCTCGGCCTCCCAGAGTGCTGGGATTACAGGCGTGAGCCACCGCGCCCAAAAGAGGCAATTGCTTTGAAGCCCTTCCCTCTCCCAGACCAGCTCCCAGTCCACCACTAATCCAGCTCAACCATGGCATGCACGTCGATTGCGATTACTGCTCAGCTTTATCTGTGACAGGGTCAGAGGCCTGAGCAGCCAGTGTGCGGATAGGCTGCTTCCCCTACCAGAGCCGTAACTACAGTCTCCAGCCATTTCTGGAGGTGAAGAGATAATACAAGCTTTTTCTGCAAGGAACTTCTGATATTATAATGATCATCATACTGCATGCAGGAAATTTGGCAGGAAGCCCGTAAGGACGGACAGGAGAAACGGAGCAGTCAGTGAAAAGTGTTGAAACGCACAAACCAGTACACAGAATGTTCCACTGACACTGGTGCTGAGGCCAGGTCTAGCCCTGGGCAGCAGTGTTCCATGTGGGTGACTGCAGGATGGGCTAGAAGAGCTTCCAAGGCCAGAAAGGGGGAAAAGTTTGAAACCTGACCTAAAGGGGATGGAGAAAGTCCTTAAAACAGTGTGACAAAAAAAAAAAAATAATAATAAAATAAATAAGGGCAGGGACGGGCGCGGTGGCTCACTCCTGTAATCCCAGCACTCTGGGAGGCCGAGGCAGGAGGATTGCTCAAGGTCAGGAGTTCAAACCAGCCTGAGCAAGAGTTAGACCTCCGTCTCTACTAAAAATAGAAACAAATTAGCTGGACAACTAAAAATATATATAAAAAATTAGCCGGGCATGGTGGCACAAGCCTGTAGTCCCAGCTACTAGGGAGGCTGAGGCAGGAGGATCGCTTGAGCCCAGGAGTTGGAGGTTGCTGTGAGCTAGGCTGACGCCACAGCACTCACTCTAGCCCGGGCAGCAGAGCGAGACTCTGTCTCAAAAAAACAAGCGCAGATGTGGGGAGAAGTTGTTGTTCATAAACACACAGGGACCCCCACCCCACCCCCAGGTCTCCAGCCTTAGAGACAAGGTTGTGGGCCCCACTCTGCCCCTGGTTAGCACGGGACTCTGGGTTAGCTCTCTTCTCCCCCCAGCTTCCTCATGGGCACGAGGAGAGGACCGAGTTATCTGATGTCCACGCCGGCCCTTCCCGGCACATGTGCGCCTAGATCTGGACTGCCAGGCCGGTGCCAGCCAACCCAAGACCTTCCAGGAGTCCCCATGTGGCCAGAGGCCGGCGCCCTCTGACAGCGCACTCCGCCGGCCTGCCGCATGGACGGCGGCTGCACTCAGACCGACTCACCACCGGGGTGTCCCCTGCAGGGGACACGAAAGCAGAGCCCCCGTGTGACCCTCGGGGAGCAGCAGGCCACCCTCCTCCGCCGGGCCCCGTCGGCAAGCGCGCACGCACCTGAGCAGCTCCGCAGGGGCCTCGCACGGTCCTGTCGATTTTGGCAATTTCCTCATCTGGGTCCTGCAAAAACTGACATCCGAACGACCCCCAAACACACCGGGCGGCCCCCCCAAAGACACACACACACAGAGAGAGAAGAAGAAAAAGAAAAGCTGGTTAGGTTATATTGAGCACTGAGTCTGCCCAAGGGACCCCGGGGAATGGGGAGGGGGGCACCAGCCTCCTTAGCGACACATCGGCTGGCTGGCAGGGACGGGGGGCACCCAGGTAGGATGGGGGGGTCCCCAACCTGTCCCCTTTGTACTCACAACGGCCACGTTCGCCTTCCTTTTCCTGGAGCGGACGGAGAAATCCGTGCCACCTTCCTCTTTCATGGCGCCCCGGTCCTTCGCATCCCTGCAGGCCGGGGGCACACAGAGGCGGGGGGTCGCTCACCCCGAATCCCGGCGCGCCCCTCCCCCACCGCCGCGCCGGCCCGCGCCGCGTCCCCGCCGGCCACTCACCTCTCCCTCCTCTCCCGCGGCATGGCGCAGGGCTCGGGCTGCTCGCTCAGGCCTGCGGGCACGAAGCGGGCAGCGTGGCGGGCGCCGCCGCGGGGACGGGCACCGCCGGGCCGCCCGCACCCCGCCCCCCCGCCGCGCCGCGCGCGCCCGCGCGGGCCGGCCGGCCGGGAAAATGGCCGATGGGCCCCCGTGGCCTGTCACCCGCGGCGCCGCCCGCGGCGGCCGGCCACCCGGCCGGGACGAGGGGTGGGCGGCCAGAAGCGCCCCCCGACGCTCGCGCGCGCGCCCATCGGCTCCCCAGGGGCCCCGGCTGCCTCGGTGTCCCCCTCCGCACCTTCCCACGGGCGCCCGCGCGCCGCCCCGGCCGGCGCGCCCGCACTGACGCCTCAGGACCCGCGACCCGGCGACCCGGCTCGCCCCACCCCACCCCGGCCGACGCGCCGGCCGGCCCGGGGCGCCGAGTGCCGGCCCGCCGCAGGGCCCTACCCGAGGCTGTCTCCGAGGCAAGCGGGCGGCCGGGCCGGGCGCGGCGGCGGGCGGCGGGGCGGCGGGCGCTGAGGAGACGGCGGCGGCAGGCCGAGCGCGCGGTGGCGGGATCCGCGCCTGCCCCCTACACCGCGCTGGCGGCCGAGCCGGCTGCTCCTGCGCCCGGCTGAGAGCGGGACATTTAAAATCCCTGCGCGCGGAACCGGCCCCGGCCCGCCCTCGCGCCTTCCCCGCCCCGCCCCGCCGGGTGCCGAGCCCCTCAGCGGCGCCCGGCGCCAGCCCGGCTCGCCTCAGGACCGCCCGCCTGCCTCAGCGCGCGCCGGCCGGCGCTCGGCTGCTGGGGGCGGGCCGGCGCTGGGGCGGGCCTCACGGGGGCGCTGGCTGCGGAGCGCTCTCAGGGCGGGGGCGGGTCTTAGCTAAGGAGCGCGCGGGGCGGCTGGGCGGGCCGGTCCGGGGCGCTAGCTGAGGAGCGCGCCGGGCGGCTGGGGGGCGGAGCCTCCCGGGGGCGGGGCCTGGCTGAAGAGCGCGCGGAGCGGCGGGGCGGAGCTCGCTGACAGGGCCTGCGCGCGGGCGGACGGCGGACGGGACGCGGGACGTGGTAGGCGGGACCACGCGGCCGTGGCGGGGCCTGCGCGGGGCGGGACGCGGGAAGAGCCGGCCGGCGCGCGGGGCGGAGCCGCGCCGCGGGAGCGGCGGAGCCGCGTGGCCGGCCCGGGCGGGGTGTAAACACGGCGGGCGGCGAGGGTGCGGGGCCCGGCTGGGCCTGGCGGGCGGATGCGTGAGGGGCTGCGGTGCGCCCGGTCGGCGGCGGGCCGGGTCCGGGCGGGATGTCCCCAAGGTCACGGCGCCGGGTGCGTGGCCTGGGGCCGGGGCTTAGGCCGCGGGTGAGGCCTGCGGCCGGCGCGGCTCCTGCTGCGCGTGCGTCGTACTACCTGCGCACCTTCCGCCCCGCCCTCTGCGCGCGGCCCCTGCCCCGCAACCCCGTGCTGACCCCGGGGTTCCCGCGCAGCCGCCCCCAGCTGCAACCTTCCGGTCGGTCGTCCGTCAGCCTCGGGGCCTGGTCCTTGCTCTCTCTCCTGGCCTTGGCCTTCAAGGCTTCCATGCACTGCCCCACCCCCCAGGGTCGCCCCTCGCAAGTGCTGACCCCGGGGTTCCCGTGCAGCCGTCTCCAGCTGCAACCTTCCAGTCGTCCGTCAGCCTCCGGGCCTGGTCCTTGCTCTCTCTCTCCTGGCCTTGGCCTTCAAGGCTTCCATGCACTGCCCCACCCCCCAGGGCCTCCCCTGGCAGGTGCTGACCCCGGGGTTCCCGTGCAGCCGCCCCCAGCTGCAACCTTCAGGTCGTCCGTCAGCCTCGGGGCCTGGTCCTTGCTCTCTCTCTCCTGGCCTTGGCCTTCAAGGCTTCCATGCACACTGCCCCACCCCCCAGGGCCTCCCCTGGCAGGTGCTGACCCCGGGGTTCCTGCGCAGCGACCCCCAGCTGCAACCTTCCGGTTGTCCATCAGCCTCGGGGCCTGGTCCTTGCTCTCTCTCCTGGCCTTGGCCTTCAAGGCTTCCATGCACTGCCCCACCCCCCAGGCCCTCCCCTCGCAGGTGCAGCTTGTCCCCTTGTCCGGGCCCGCTGGAGCTGCTCGTCCCCCCTGAGCGCTGAGTCTCAGTGGCCACTTACCCAGTGCACACCTGTCCTGGGAGTCGCTCTCCACGTCCCTGTCCCGCTGCGGGTCCCTCACCGCACTTGGTTCCCTCTTTCTCAGCCCGCCCTGTCTGTCTGTCGTGTCCCCAGCTGTATATCCTTTAGCGCTTGGCACGGTGCCTGGAGGAAGGGGGACCCTGAGATTGTGTTTACGAACGAATGACTGGAACACGTGCACCGGCCAGGCCCTGCCGAGCTTGCAGGCTAGTGAAAAGGGGCAGGTATGGAAACATTGTCAGCTGAGATTACCTGCTGTACTCCACTTCAGGAAGAAGTGTGGACAGAGGTCTCCTGAGCACGGCGGAGGCCCTTCCTGCTTGAGACTTTCCCGGTCTTGTCCCCACGGTGACCGCCTTCTTGAGCTAGAGCGTGTGTCTTATGGAAGAGTGTGCCTCCTGTCTCCCCCAGAGGCCCTGGCTGGGCTATTCATGGCCTCCCAGGCACACTGAGGCCAAGGGTGCTGGGCTGCAAGGGCTGGGATGTCTTTTTTTTTTTTTTTTGAGACAGAGTCTCGCTTTGTTGCCCAGGCTAGAGTGAGTGCCGTGGCGTCAGCCTCGCTCACAGCAACCTCCAACTCCTGGGCTCAAGTGATCCTCCTGCCTCAGCCTCCCCAGTAGCTGGGACTACAGGCATGCCCCACCATGCCGGGCTAATTTGTTCTATATATATTGGTTGGCCAATTAATTTGTTTCTATTTATAGTAGAGACAGAGTCTCGCTCTTGTTCAGGCTGGTTTCGAACTCCTTGACCTGGAGCAATCCGACCTCCCAAAGTCCTAGTATTACAGGCGTGAGCCACCGCGCTCTGCCTAGGGCTGGGGTGTCTTACGTGGGCGTGGACCCAGGCTCCTGAGCTCCCAATTCTGCACTTGTTACTTATAACGATGACAGCTGTACCTAGTGTCTCCAAAATGGCAGCTCTGGGCTCAGTCTTTCAAATGGTCTTCTCACTTAAACATCACAGGGATCCTAGTATGTTGATACCATGATTATCCTATTCATAGATGGCAGCTGTCTACTTGCTAGGGCCATTGTTAGGATTAAGTGAGATAGGCCGGGTGTGGTGGCTCACGCCTGTAATCCTGGCTCTTTGGGAGGCCAAGGCAGGCAGATTGCTTGAGGTCAGGAGTTCGAAACCAGCCTAAGCAAGAGCAAGACCCCCGTCTCTACTATAAATAGAAAGAAATTAATTGGCCAGCTAATATACAGAGAGAAAATTAGCCGGGCATGGTGGCACATGCCTGTAGTCCCAGCTGCTTGGGAGGTTGAGGCAGGAGGATTACTTGAGCCCAGGAGTTGGAGGTTGCTGTGAGCTAGGATGACGCCACGGCACTCACTCTAGTCTGGACAACAAAGTGAGACTCTGTCTCAGAAAAAAAAAAAAAGATTAAGTGAGATAATGCAGAGGCATCAGTACAGTGCCTGGCACATAGTAAATGCTCAATAAATGAATTATTACAGCAATGATAGACAAGACCGAATTTTTCCTTAGCATTTACAGCCATGTGTACTCCCACCAGCAAAAAATGAGAGTTCCAGGTGCCCCACATCCTAGCTGACATGTTCATCACCAAGAGAATAAATACATTTTTGTCGACAATAGGATAAATGAATTCTGTTATATTTCCTTAATGGAATATTATACCACAGTAAAAAGTTGAACTAGTGAAATATGCAGCAACATGAATGAATCTCACACATGTTGAGCACACTTATTTAAGTTTCCATGTATTTGAAGGTTAAGAGAAAGCAAAGTTACAGTGACAGCAGTCCGAATACTCGTTATTTGGGGTGAGGGGTCATGACCGGGAGGGTACCCGGGGAACCTGGGTACTAGACATGTTTTATGTCTTGACCTGAGTGGTGGTTATGTATGTAGCTGTGTGTGTACATAAAAATTCACTGAGCTGTACACACTTATGATTTGTGTACTTTACTGAATGTGTCTTTTACTTCAGTAAAAAGCAAAAGAATTATTTTCTCAAAAAAACATTCAAAAGAAAGCAAGGCGAGACACAATCCCTGCCTACTCTGGAGCTTCCATTGTGGAAGGGAGGCGGTCGTAAGGAGAGACTGGCAGTTGCAGCGCAGAGTGCTAATGGCTGGGATGGGCTGTGAGTGCATGTGTGGAGGGATGTCTCCGCCTAGCCCTGGGTGACAGGAGGGCTGCATGGAGGAAGCGGCGTCTAAGCCAGGAGGATGCGTAAGTCGAGCAGAGGCAGCAGAGAAGCTGGGTCTGAGACAGTGGAAACAGCCTGCCCGGTCCTTGGAGTCTTCAGAAAATTGCCGACGTCCTCCGTGTCTGGGGAACTCGCCTTTGGATGTCTGGGTTCATTTCCTTCCGTTCCGTGCCCGCCTCGGGCGCAGAGCTGCCAAGCGCGGGCTCAGCCTCGGGGAAGCCGGGATCCCACCATCGGAGGTGGTGGGCCAGCTGCTGTGGGAGGAGGGTAGCACCTTCCTTCTGCCTTGAGACTTTGGGGAAGTCCCCAACCTCTCCGTGCCTCAGTTTCCTCATCTGTGAAATGGGCGTGATTCTAACTGTCCGCACCCCAGGATGTCGTCGCTGTGATGTCTGGATATCCTTAATGCATTTACAGGAGTATCTGGCACAGAGTTAGTGCTCGCTGTGTGCTAATTATCGTTATTCGCAAAGAAATCGGAGGGGCGTTTGCTTAGCTTCATACAAGGTCCAGGCGCTGATGGTGGAGGTGTGAGGACAGGGGCCGGGATGTAAAGGTGAGGGAGGAGTGAGAGCGTGAGCACTGCAACGGGGAAGTCCTTCCCGGAATGGATTCCTTCACGCGGGATCCCGGACAGCCCTCAGGGAGCTGGGAAGCTGCCTGCTGATGGCTCGGGCTCCCCAGTGGGCCGGCATGGACGTTCCTGGGCAGCCGGTGCGTAACTTTTACCGGCTCCCTCCTGCGGGGGAAGGGGCAGGCAGTGGCTGAGAGTGGAGCTGGCCGAGGCTGCCTGGAGGAGCCCCACAAGAGCAGGGGCCAAGCGGGCTGTGCCAGGGCGAGCTTTGAGGTTGGGGGGCAGGCAGGATGAGCGGGACCGGGCTGCCACACTGAGTGACCACAGCCCAGCACCAGGGAATCCCGGTGTGGGGAAGGCCCAGAGGCTTGGCTCCTGTCTTCACTCAGCCGGGCAAATCTGTCCGCATGAGCCAGCCAGAGGCACGGCCGATCCGTGCTCCCCAGGGCTGGGTCACTGCTCAGACTGAGCCCACACTGCTTCCCGTCTCCACCCCCCCCCCAAGGTGGGAGGCTGGCAAACCAACAGGTGGTGCTCACCCTGGCCTAACCCCCTTCTACGCTGGGGAGCACATTCCGTCCGCACTTCTTCAGACAGAAAGGTGTGATGGATGAAAAGTTCCAGGGAAAATCAAATTGGCGTTTAAACTTAGTATGTGACGGCAGCTGTCACCTGTGGGTCCTGCGCTAAGCTCGGGCTTGCAAGGAGCAGGGACGGAGGTGAAGACCCTTCGGGGAGCGTGAGGGTGATGAGGTCGAGGGGAGGTGGGGGGTGAGGGGGCAGAAATGCAGCAGCAGGCACCCCCCCACACACGCGGGCTAAGACACAGGGCGCTTTGTTCTGCGTGTGACCACCCGGCCCCAGCTTCACTTTAAATCTCCTCGTTTTGGGTTTTCTGAAGACAGGCACAGCTGCAGGACAGAGCGGGGCTTGGCCAGAGGAGGCCCCAGCCTCTCCCTTCTGGTCGGGGACCAAAGTTCTCCTCCAAGCTCCAGTCTCTGCCCTTCAACAGGGAGGAGGCTTGGCCAATCAGAGCACCGCGTTCCTGGCCGTGTGATTGGTGCAGGCACAGGCATATGGCCCCAGCCGGGCCAATGAGGATCCTCAGGAGTTGCTAAGCTGAATGGAAGTGGGCCTGGAGCCAAGGCCATGGTGC